AAGCTCCAACCCCCCTCCCCTTTTACCGCCTTTTCTGCCGCCCCCCTGAGGAATCGCTTCACTCTGGGCTTCGGCACCGGGGCAGGCCCAGGAAACGGGTCCGTGCGCTGCGGGAAAACAGGGAACGACACTGGAAAAGGCCTCGGGACCCCCCAGAATCGGCCCCCCCGCCCCAAAGTTTTGGGACCCCAAAAAAGTTACCCCCGAAACGCCGCCCGCCATCGCCACCACGCCGAGCCGCCGCCGCCACTTCCGGCTGCGGAGCCAATCAGCGCAAAGGGAGGGCGAAGCGGCACCGGAAAGCCCTGAAGGCGGGAGCCGCCATGTTGGGTGAAGGCAAAGCGTGCTTTGGGTGAACGGGGAGCGCCATTTTGGGTGTGGGCGGCGCCATGTTGGGTGCGGGAAGGAAGGGAAGGTCGCCGCCATATTTATTGAGGGCAGATGAAGCTGGCGAGAACGCCGCCATGTTTGTTGAGGGCAAATGGGGGTACGCCTCTTCTGACGGACCCCCCAAATCTAGGGACGCCCCCTCTCATTTTTAGGGATCCTTTCACACCTCCCCCTCCTTTTATCCCCCCAAACCACCTTGATTCCCAAACCGTTTCCTCCCCAACACCTGTTCCCAAAACACCCCTTTTTACTCCCCGAAATCCTGCCTTTCAAAAAAACTCTCTCCACTTTTATTTCCAAACCACCCCCAAAATTTCCACTTTTCTTCCCCCAAACCACTCCTTTTCCTCCCCAAATAACGACCTCCCCATCGTTTCAAAAAAACCAATGCCTTTTTTTTTTTTTTCCAAAATCCTTCTTTTATTGGCTGAAAATTCCCAAGTTTTCCTGGAATTCCTCATTTTTTCTTGGACACTCCCACGGTTCTCCCGCGCCGGCCCGTTGTCTTCGTGTGCTGGCCTCGCACACGCAGCCTAGGAGGGGGTTTAAAGTTCATCTCAGTGCTTCCAGTGCTCCCAGTTCATCCTAGTCCCTCCCAGTATCCTCCAGTTTGTGCCAGTGCCTCCCAGTCCCTCCCAGTGCCTCATTGTGGGGAGCAATTCCCCGATTTTGGTAATGGAATTTGCCCAGGTGTCTCCCAGGTGTATCCCACGTGTATTCCACACATCCCAGGTGTCTCCCAGGTGAGTCTTACCCCCAGAAGTGCCTCAGCCCCCAGTGTCCCCCTGTCCCAGCTGTATCCTAGGTGAATCCCAGGTATCCCAGCTGTCCCCAGGTGTATCCCAGCTGTTCCCAGGTGTGTCCCAGCTGTCCCCAGGTGTGTCCCCAGATGAGTCTCACCCCCAGAAGTGCCTCAGCCCTCGGTGTGCCCCCTGTCCCAGCTGTATCCTAGGTGAATCCCAGGTATCCCAGCTGTCCCCAGGTGTGTCCCAGCTGTCCCCAGGTGAGTCCCAGCTGTCCCCAGGTGTGTCCCCAGGTGAGTCTCACCCCCAGAAGTGCCTCAGCCCTCGGTGTGCCCGGATCTTCTTGAGCCGCTCCAGGTCCTCGCGCAGTTTGTTGTCCAGCCCGTTGGCCAACACCTGGAATTTGGGACACACACAGGTCAGGGGACACGTGGGACAGGTCAAACAAGTAAAAGGACACCTGAGACAGATAAAAGGACACCTAGGACAACTAAACAGACACTGTGGGTGAGTAATGGGTCACTTGGGACAGGTGAGATGACACCTGGGACAGGTAGAAGGACCAACCTGGGAGTATTTGCCGTCCTTGACGTCCTTCTGCCGGTTGAGGAACCAGTCGGGGATCTTGTACTGCCGGGGGTTCTGCATGATGGTGATCACCCGCTCCACCTGCGCAGGAGGACACCTGTCACACACCTGGAAGCACACCTGGGGACACACCTGTCACACCTGGGGATACGCCTGGGACACATGGGGACAGCTGACACACCTGGGACACACCTCTCACACATCTGGGACCCCCGAGCCCCCCAAAAGCATCCCCAACCACCCTCAAGTTTACTCCATCCCCCAGACCTCCAAGCCCCTCAAAAGTGCCCCCAGACCTCGTCCTCGGTGAGCTCTCCCGCCCTCTTGGTGAGGTCGATGTCGGCCTTGCGCAGCACCACGTGGGCGTAGCGGCGCCCCACGCCCTGCCAGGACACACGGGGGGGTCACAGGGGGGTTCCAGGCGTCCCCAGGACCCGCCCCGGTGTCCCCAAATGTCCCCAAGCTCACCTTGATGGCGGTGATGGCGAAGGCGATCTTGCGGCGACCATCGATGTTGGTGTTGAGCACCCGCAGGATGTGCTGGAACTTCTCCGGGATCACCAGGGACTGAGGGGACACGGGGGAGGTGGTACGCCGCTTCCCGGGGACTCTCCGCCACCCCTCTGCGCCGCCCCTGGTCCCCAAATATCCCCCAATGCCCCCCAAATCCCAGGGTCCTCCATGAGGGGACCCTGGGCCGCCATGCTGGGGGGGGCGCGGGGTGTCCGCACCTTACCCCCGTTTTTCTCTCCATCTCCCCTCGCCGCCGCCCCATTCCCCCCCCGCCGCTTCCCGGTGAACCCCCGCCATCCCCCCGCGCGGTGCCCCGCCCTGTCCCGGCGCCGATGGCGGCGGATCTGGTGCGAGGTTTGTTCCCACCATGGCTGCGACCTCCGCTCTGCGCCGGGCCCGGGGTGGGAGGAGGAAAGAGGCGGAAGTGACGTCAGCTCGTCGCCGCGACGCGCGGGACCAAGATGGCGGCGCAGGCGGAGGTGAGTCCGGGAACGGGAATTTGCGGGGGGTTTGGGGGGTCCCGGGGATTTTTCGGGGTGTCCTAGGGGGCTGAAAAGAGTCTGGGGGAGCTCAAAGAGGGGTGCTGAGCCGCGTGTGCCGCAGGTGGCGGCGGAGGAGGCGCCGCTGGGGGCGGAGCTGGAGGCGGAGCTGGACCTGGAGGGGGCGGAGCTGGAGGAGGTGGATGGTGAGTGAGGGAAGGAGGGCTCCAGTGGGTGGGGGCGGTGCCTGGAGAAGGGGCGGGGCTAATACCAAAGGGGCGTGTTCAGGTTGGGGGTGGGGTTAGGGCTGATATGTCAAAAGGGGCGTGGTTTAGATGGGTGTGTCCAATGGGGGTGTGTTCTGTGAAGAGTGGGGCCAGGGGACACCTGTGTTGGGGAGGGGACATTGGGGCTCCATTTTGGGGACATTTGTGGGGGAGGGGATCCAGGGAACTCCCTCTCCCCCTGTTTTCTCCCTTTTCTCCCAATTTTCCCCCTGGTTTTTCCACTTTTCCCGCCATGATTCCCATTTTTCCCAGTACACATCCAGGAGAACCTGGAGGACGCTTTGGTGCAGGAGGCCCTGAGGACGGTGAGTGTTGCCCAGGAGGGTTGAGGACACTTTGGGGGCAGTTTTTGGAGTATTTGGTAAGATTTTGGGGGCTGGGGACCCTTTTAAAGGGGTTGAAGACACTTTTTTAGAGGTTGGGAGCATTTTAAGGGTGGTTTGGGGCATCTAGAGGGGGTTGGGGACGTTTTTGGGGATGTCAGGATCACCTTGGAGACACATTAAGTACAGTTTTAGGGTGGGTTGGGGCCTTTTTGTGGGGGTTGGAGGGATTTTGGGGGGCTTGGGGACAATTTTGCGGGGTTGGGGCACTTTGTGAGCATTTTTGGGAGTTGGGGACAGTGTTTGGGGCATATTGGGTGTTTTTTCGGGTGTTTGAGACACTTTCAGGGGGATTTAGGAACAGTTTAAGGGGGCCTGGGGGCAAAGTGGGGGCGTCCCAGAGTGGCAGGTGTGTCCTTGGTGTCCCCAAATGTCCCCAAATGTCCCCAAATGTCTCCCTTTTTGCAGGGCGTGGACCTGCTCCAGTATTCCCGGCACGTGGAGCTGGAGCTCCAGGAGGTGGAAAGAGCCTCTATCCAGGACTGTATCCCAAATTTTTGCGGGGTCCCAAGGTGTCCCAAAGTGTCCCCAAGGTCCAAGACCTCGAAAAATGCCCCAAAATCTCCTGAAAATGCCCCCAAACCACCTAAAAATGGCCCTAAATGCCCCCAGATTGTCCCCACGGTGTCCCCAGATTCTCCCCAATGTCCCCACCTTCCTCCAGGTGCCCCAAACCCCACCAAAACTGTCCCCAATGGCCCCAAAATGTCCCCAACCCTCCAAAAATGCCCTAAACCCACCCCAACTCCCCCCAAACTGTCCCCAGGTGTCCCCAAATTGTCCCCAAAGTGTCCTTGACCCCCCCCAGACATCAAGGAGAGCGAGAACATCGCGGAGCTGCACAATCAGATCACGGCCTGTGATGCCATCCTGCAGGTGAGCGGAAGAAACCGCCCCAAAATGACCCAAAATCACCCTAAATGGCCCCAAAATCGCCCCAAATGGCCCAAAACTGTCCCAGACTATCCCCAAATGCCCTAAAAACTGTCCCCAAGCCCCCTAAAACTCCCCAAAACTGTCCCAAAACTATCCCAAACTGTCCTAAATGTTGCCAAAACTGCCCCAAATGTCCCCAAACTGTCCCCGAACTGTCCCCAAATGTCCCCCAAGTGTCCCCTTTCCCCCCCAGCGGATGGAGCAGATGCTGAGCTCGTTCCAGTGTGACCTGAGCAGCCTGAGCTGGGAGATCCGGGCGCTGCAGGACCAGTCCGTGGCCATGAACCTCCGGCTCCAGAACCGCCGGAACGTCCGGGAAAAGCTGGGACAGCTCCTGGACGAGCTCGTGGTGCCCCCGGCCATGATCAGGTGGGGCTGGAAAACCAGGAAAGAGGGAAAAAACCCAGGGATTTTGGGGGGAAAACAGCGATTAGGGGCTCAAACGTTAGCAGAACAGGGGAAAAAAGGGGATTTGGGTCTCAAAATCTGGGAAAACAGGGAAAAAAAGCAGGGGTTTGGGGGTCAAAAACCGAGAGTTTGGGGAAATAAAAAAGGATTTGGTGTACAAAACCTGGGATTTTTGGGGAAAAAAATAGGGATTTGTGGAATCAAACCTGGAATATCTTGGGAAAAACCAAAGATTAAGGTGCCAAACTTAGGCTTTTGGGAAAAAAATGAGAATTTGGTCCCCAAAACCCAGGATTTTGGGCTATACTGGATCCGATCCCTGTTTTCCCAGCGCAATCCTGGAGGCACCGGTGACGGAGCCGGAGTTCCTGGAGCGGCTGCGGGAGCTGGACGGGAAGATCGGGGCGGTGAAGGAACAGGCGTTCCGCGACACCCTGGCCTGTGCCGACGTCCAGCACGTCCTGGACAAGCTCAAGGTCAAGGTGGGCAGCACCTGCAAAATCCTTGTTAATGGCCCTGGAATTCCAAGGAATGCCCAGAGTTTCTGGAAGAACCCAAAACCGCAGGGGAATAGTCACTGGGAGGGACTGGGAGGCAAAGCCCAGCTCGTCCTTGACAAGCTCAAGATCCGTGGGAATGGTCCCAGAATTCCTGGGAATGGCCAGGATTCCAAGGAGTGGCCAGACTTTCAAGGAAAGCCCAAAAAAAACAGTGGAGGGACTGGGAATCAAGTGGGAGAAGGTTAAGGTCAAGGTGGGGAGACACTCAAAGATTCCTGGGAAGGGTCCCAGAATTCCAGGGGATGGTCAGAATTCTCAAGGGAATGCTCAGAATTCCCCCAAAACTAGTGGGAGGGCACTGGGATGGACTGGGAAGGACTGGGAGCACTGAGAGCCCTCCCAGCCCTTCCAAATCCCTCCCTTGATCCCAAAATCCCCCCTCAGGCCGTCACCAAAATCCGGGAATTCGTCCTGCAGAAGATTTACTCATTCCGGAAACCCATGACCAACTACCAGATCCCACAGGATTCCCTCCTCAAATACAAGTAAAAGGGAATCCCAGGGCTGGAATTTTATGGCACTGGGGTGGTGGGGGAGCCCAAAAAGCTTGGAAAAAAATTCCTATATTTCCCAGATTTTTCTACCAATTCCTGCTGGGCAACGAGCGGAATGTGGCGCAGGAATTGCGGGATCAGTACGTGGAGACGGCCAGCAGGATCCATTTCTCCTACTTCAAATCCTACACTGGGCGCCTCATGAAGATCCAGGTGGGAATTCCCAGGCTTTGGGAATGCTGGGGGGTTGGGAGAGACTGAGGGGGTGGGTTTTTTTGCAGTGCATCCAAGTTGGAATTCCCAGGGAAGGTTCATGTTAAGTCTGGAGTTGGTTGTTGGGTAAAGATCTGAGTGGGAATTGGGGCTTCCCAAAGAATTTTGGGATGCTGATCCAACTTTTGGGATGCTGATCCCAGCTTTTGGGATGCTGAGAGGGTTTTGGAGGGATCTGGGGGGGCTTTCTTGGGGATGGATCCAACTTGGAATCATCGGGAAAGGTTCGTGTTGACTCCGGAGTCGTTTGTTGGGTGATTATTTGGGAGAGAATTTGGGGCTTCCCAGGGAATTTTGGGATGCTGATCCCAATTTTAGCAGGAAACCCCCCTCCCAGATCCTTGGGAAGCTCATCCCACCTTTTCTCCTTTCTCCTTTTTTCCCACAGTACGAGGAGGTGGCAGAGAAGGACGACCTGATGGGTGTGGAAGACACGGCCAAGAAAGATATCCTTGGAATTCCGAAGGGGGTTGGGGGGGCTCCCGGGAATTCTGAGCGCTCAGGAGCATCCCAAAATTCCTTAACAGCGGGCACGGTTCTTCTCCAAACCGTCCCTGAAGAACAGGAACACCGTGTTCACCCTCGGCAACCGCGGCGCCGTCATCGCCCCCGCCGAGCTCGAGGCGCCCATCATCGTCCCCCACGCCGCCCAGAAGAGCGACCTCAGGGTCACTGGGAGGGCACTGGGAGGGACTGGGAGGGACTGGGGGGCACTGGGAGGCACTGGGAGTGGAATAGGAGGGGCTGGGAGGGGAAGGTGGTGGTGGGTTCTGAGCTCGAGGCGCCCATCATCGTCCCCCACGCCGCCCAGAAGAGCGACCTCAGGGTCACTGGGGGCACTGGGAGGGACTGGGAGCACAGTGGGGGGCACTGGGAGGGACTGGGGGAGCCCTGGAACAGACTGCAAAGGATTGGGAAGGACTGGGAGCCCAGTAGAGTGGAAAAAAAAGCTTAAAAAATGCCAAAAAAACAGAAAAAAAAAATCAGAAAAGAAAAACCCCCAAAAAACGGCAAAACCTGCCTCATTTCTCCTTTTTTTTTGGGACGAATCCCAAGGTTTTTCCCAAGGTTTTTCCTAAGGTTTTCCCTGATGTTTTCCCTGTTTTCCTCCCCAGTACCCGTTCGAGTCGCTGTTCCGCAGCCAGCACTACGCGCTGCTGGACACGAGCTGCCGGGAATTCGCCTTCCTCTCGGAATTCTTCCTGGTCTCCGGGAATTCCGCCCAGGAATTGTTCGATGCCGTCATGGGAAAGACCCTGGCCATGTTCCTGGTGGGAATTCCTGGGAATTTGGCAGGGCTTGGGGGGTTTGGGGGTTTTCTTGAAATGTTTTCCTTGGGATTTTGGTTTTTTTTTTGAGGGGGATTTTGAGGTATTTTTTTGGGGGGGGATTTTGGTTTTTTTCTGTGGGGATTTTTGAGAGTTTTTTTGGGGTGCTTTACCTGGGAGTTTTAGGGAGTTTTCCTGGTATTTCTTGGAGTTTTCCCTGGGATTTTGAGAGATTTCCCGGGGATTTTGGGATGGTTTCCTGGGGATTTTGAGGAAATGCCTGGTATTTTGGCGAGTTTCCCTGGGATTTGGGATATTTTCCTGGGGACTTTTTAACAGCCGGTTTTCCCTGGGACTCCCGGGGAATTTTTGGGATCTTGATCCACCCCCTATCCCGTTTCAGAGGCACATGGAGGGTTTTGTGTCGGATTGCTACGACGGCATCGCCGTCTTCCTCTGCATCCACCTCGTGCTGCGTTTCCGAGGCATCATGGCCAAGAGGAACGTCCCTGCTGTCGACAGGTTGGGAAACACCTCCCAAAGTCCACTGGGAACAACCCAAAATCCGCTGGGAATGCCCTAAAATCCAATGGGAAGGCCTCAAAATACACAGGGAATGCCCCAGAATCCACAGGCATCCTGCAAATCCAACAGGGAGATCAGGAAATGGATCAGGGAACTCCCCAGAATCCCTCAGAAGCCCCCCGAGACCCATCCCAGATCCCAAAACTCCACCCCAAAATCTATCAGTGATGCCCCAAATCCCTCAGAAACCCCCCCAAATCCATCCCGGATCGCCAATCCCCTGCCAAATCCCTTTGAAATCCCCCCAAAACCCACCTGGGATTCCTGAATCCCCCCAAATCCCCCCGAATCCTGTTTTTGCAGGTACTGGGGGTCTCTGCTGGCGCTGCTGTGGCCGCGCTTCGAGCACATCCTGGAGCTGCACATCCAGAGCATCCAGAGCACCGACCCCCAGAAACTGGGATTCCTGGACACGCGGCCCCACTACGTGAGCTGGGAATGCTGGAAAGGCCAGGAATTCATCTGCGGAATTTGAGGGCAGGGGAAGTCTGGGAAGGCTGGGAATTCATCCCAAATTCAGGAGCAGGAAGAGTCTCGTAATGCTGGGAATTCTTCCCCTGATTCATTCCAAATGGAGCCCTAGAATGCTGGGAATTCATCCCAGATCTGGGGGCAGGGGGAGTCTGGGAATGCTGGGAATTCCGGAATGCCAAGAATTCATCCCAGAATTCCTGGAGATCACCCGGAGTGGGACTGGGAGCAGTGGGAGCCCTGGGAATGCCAGGAAAGGCTCTGGAATTCCATGAATTCCCTCAGATCATGCGGGGTGGGATGGGGGGTGGGATGCTGGGATCCCAGGAATGCCGGGAATGGCTCCGGAATTTCCGGAATTCCGGCAGATCACACGGCGTTACGCGGAGTTCTCCTCGGCCATCGTCAGCATCAACCAGACCTGCCCCAGCGACAGGAGCGACGCCCTGCTCAGCAGGCTGCAGGTACTGGGGGCACTGGGAGGGAAGTGGGAGGCACTGGGAGGCACTGGCAATTTCTCACCCTTTTCCCCCCCTTCTCCCCCCTTTTCTTCCCCAATTTCCCCCCTTTTTCCCCCCTTTTTCCCCCCTTTTTCTCCCCCCATTCCCAGATGGAAGTGGAGAACCTGGTGCTCCGTGTGGCCGCCGAGTTCCCGTCTCGCCGGGAGCAGCTCGTCTTCCTCATCAACAACTATGACATGATGCTGGGGGTGCTCATGGTAAAACACCCTAAAACACCACAAAATACCCTAAACCCCCTAA